TGGATTTCACGGGGAGGCCGGGTCCCATAGGTGAGCATTTTCCCCTACATTTGATCTCTGACCAGAGAGCTATTTGCTGCTATGCATCCTTCGTAAATAATCATAGTGAAACAATAATCTCTAGCTCTTCAAAAGTAACTACCATGAACCTAGGCATTAAAATACATAGATAAAAATGAAGCAAATTAAGGGAGGAAAAACATTATTCTTGCTGAAGATTATTCATACACAATTGTATCTGAAAGCGAAATATGCTTCTATCAACATGGTTAATTTTAGGGAGGGGGCAACTGATGTATTTCCCTGTTTCTCTAAACAACACAAAGGATCTTGAGCTTGTCCTCTTAATTCATAAAAATAATCTACTTAATTTCTTTCCTGTAAACTTGCTCAAAGGTTTCCCATCGCGCACACTGGTTATTTTATACAAAAGTTCCTAATTAGGCCCATTGTTGGCCACAAGGATGATATGGCCAGTGAGTCAGGAAGGGTGGGAAGCTCTAGCAGAAATTAAAATTCTGCAGGAAAAAGAAACGGCCAGTCATCAAATCCATGGACCTGCCTAACAAACCAGAGGGCATTCAATTGCAACTGGCTGAAGGAACAAATTTGATCTTAATTACAAAGACACGCTCACAAGTTGTAAGGAAGTCACAGCTTAAGAAGGATCAGCCTCCTAACTTCTTGATAAATTAGTTTCTCAAGACTAACCTTTTGGATGCCAAAGACATATATCACACGTGTGGCAGTCAGGAAAATGTCAGTGTTGGGGGGGGGGCGCAAGGTAAATGGCTAAGTAATCACTGAGATGACATCTCTGCGTGCTTAACAATATGCTAAATTGGAAAACTAAAGATTCCATTTAAATATAAAATTCAAAGACGCACTGCCACACACTGGCACAGCTGTGGAAAGTGGCCGCGCTGAACTCTCGCCTTCATTAATTCCAGCATTTTCCTTCTCAGCATCACATCCGTTCGAGAGTCTTGTCCTCTTAATTCATAAAAATAATCTGGAAGAGGAGGCCAAGCCACGAGGCACAAAGCCCGAGGTCAACTGGACAGCAAGGAGGAGACCCCAAGCCGGCCAGTGAGCAGAGAGAGCGCTCTCAGAACCGTGCACTGTAATGAAGGAGTCGATTCTAGTTCAACTCTCTGGTCTATAAAACTTGTCATCAAAACTGGTTCCGAACCCCCACAGAAAGAGTGATGTCTGAATTACTGAGCAGATTTCACCTCCTTTTTATAAAATTGGTATTTTGATTAAATGGGCTTCATGCTAATGAATTTCACAAAGAGAAAGGAACTAAAAATGTCAGCTAACGACTTGATCGGAGGTGAGCAACCCCCCTCCATAAAAATAAGAATCTTCCCAAGTTTTTTACATGGTAAATTAGATAAATCGGCTGCTTCCCGGTTTTCTAATTGTCATTCATGTGAAAAGATGTCACTATAATAATGCTGACTGACATCATACTATCTTTTGGATTATTCAGGAAAAGGCTGAAATTAAAAGCAGTTTCTTTGGCAGGGGGAATTTTCATTTTCCATATTAATCCATTATAATCAAATAATTTCGTGAAGTTTTGATCCTAAAGCTGGAAGAACAAAAACACCCTTTAAAAAGGGCCTCTCCAGAGACACAGGCGGGAAACGCTCCATCTTCCTCTTAGATTACAAGTATTCTGTATTTCCCTCCTTTCCACGAAGTGTCAATCACGACTAATAACTTCCAAACTCACAGAATTAGTAAGGAGAATTAAGTTGGTTATTTACTGGTAAATTCCAACTTCTACAAGACCCAGGCTCCCCGCTGGAGAATGTTAAAGCAAACCTGGTCCACAGGCCCCACCCGCTCCCTCAAGACCTCCCCCCATCCTGCCCCCCGGACCCCTGGGCTGGTACGTCACCTCAGCCTCAGTTTGCTCCACTTTGGAATGAAAAGGGTCCACTGGGTTATGGTCTAATCCACACTTTATTTTATTTTATTTTTTTAAAGATTTATTTATTTTTATACAAGAATTGGGGTACAGGCCAGAGATGCAAGGGGTGAGAAGATTCACCTGAGGCAGAGCGGGGAGCAGAACAGGGAGACTGACGAAATGCACTGCTTAGGGGAGCAGCGGGCGAGACAGGAGAGGTCTGTCCTGCCATGTGGGTTTCTCCCTGGCCGGGGATCGAACTCGTGTTGCAGAGGCTGTGGACAGCTTCATAGGTTGCGTCTCAACCTCTGCCTGTGCCACCAGGGAGGCCCTAATCCATACTTATAAAGCTGGAGCCCTGACCCCATGGGCGGAGAGGGATTGGAGCGAGCACCGACCGTGGCGTTAGTGGATGTCACTCACCAGCATCACTGATTCCCAGCAGCTTCCATGTCATCATGAAGTCTGTTACTCAAAAGATACCAGTTTAACTGGCATTATGCAAGTGTCCTGAGAGGTTTTTGGATGTTTAAAAGAAGGTCCCTGGATAGTCAAAAGAATTAAGAATCGGGGCCTCCCTGCTGGCGCAAGGGGTTAAGCATAGTGCTGTGAAGCTGTCCACAGCCTCTAAAGCTGAATTAAGAAAAGAAATTAAGAATTAAGAAAGAATTAAGAATCCATGGCCTAGAACTCTGGATAATCTCCAGAGCTCTTTATAGGGATTAAAATATAATCTACCCTTCCTGATCTAGCGACTCAGCCATCATGTCAGCAAGGCAAGAAAGGGTTAACCCTACCTGATCCCAGCTGTCATCACTTATTCTTTGAGTTCATGTTTTAAATCTTAAAGCAGAAGTTAAAAAAAAAGAACCTGCATTTCAATCAACTACCACCAAATATTCCTACTAAGTCTGAGGCAGCAAACCCCAGAACCCCTCGATAAGACAAGACTAAGTGTACAGTTTACAGCCAGTCATTGCTATTTAGACGTAAAGCCCATCTTACATGTATTACGACGGTAGTAATCCTAAATGCCTTTTAAAAACCATTTAATACCTTCTACGACTTTTATGGTACATCAAATTACAAGCTTACTCTCGTGGAAGGAGACTGTCTACATTCTAACACAGCTACATGTAAAATGAATAATTGATAAGGGAGGGCAGAGAGCTTTGAAGACCTATAGTTATCACACGGATAGTAAAAAATAACGCAGACAGCCAGCCAGCACCCCGAAACTCGGCAGCAACTCAATAAATAACCATCAGTGGAGCTGGACAGATGCCTGTGTGGCTTTTTAAAAATTCCTCCTGGAAAGGAGCTGGGAGGGGGATCCCTCCTGCATGGACAAAAGGCCCGTGTGTCAGAGCAAACAAAGGAAGCTACTCAGAGACTCCTAAGAAAGGGGAATTGCAATTGTGCTGCAAAGCCTGGGGGGGCTCTAGTCAGGGTCACAAATCTCCCTGGGGCTTAGGGTGATAGAAGGCAGCCCAGGTCCCTGGGGAGAGGCGCTCAGCAGCCAGTGAGGGCCCCTCTTGGCTCACCCAACCACTGGCATCATTTTGCAACACCCAAAGGCCTCAGGTCGATACACCTCGGAATTCCTCCGACTGACCCTCCACTGTCCCAACTGGAGATCCTGCTCGTGACTTGTTTCCATGGAGATCTCTAACACCTCCACCCCTTCCTAGGGGACACTGAGCCGGAGGGTGAAAGATCACCTTTGGGTGTTGTCTACAAGCAACAAATCATGTCCTTGATTTCTGACCAATGAAAGCTAATGGAGAGAAAATCAGGATGACAAAAAGTCTCCAAAACACGCACCTTTTCCTTCGCTGCCCTCCACTCAGCCGCCAAGCTTGGATCAACCCAGATGGATCCTACTCTTCTTCCTCTGCCAGCGGTGAAGTCAAGTTCACCCATCTGACTGTGACATTCCCTGCATCACTAAACTGTCCTTACTCCCTAAAAACCCGGGGTGCCTGGTAGTACTTCCTGCCCTCGGTCCTCAATTCCTTCTCCACCTCTAGGTACCTTTTTTTCCTTTCAAAATATAGCACTGTCCTGAAGCTGTGTAACAAAGAAATGTGTGGGGCTGACTGGACATAATTAAGGTCCAAGACCATTAGTAAAAATATATAAATTATCAAAAGGCAGCCTTGGCATTCTTTCTGAGAAAAACCCAGAGAACAAGCTACAGGGAAGAACAAAGTCTCCATGAAGCCTTGAGCCTGGTCTCCTGAAGGGTCCACCTTCCCCATCAGGATGGCCTCTCCCTCTTCTTTACTTCAAACGCAGTCCATCTGTCCATTTTCAGACAGACACACAGCCCAAATGGTGGCACGCCAGCAGCCAGCACTAGCACCTACCCTTGCTGCTCAATGGCCCTGCTGCAGAGTCTCCAGGGAGTAAAAGGCTCATCTCTGAACTGAGCCTCCCAGTGGCTCAGGAAGGCAACATCACCAGACGCCCCCTCCCTAACTTAGAGCTGCAAACCAGAAATGGCAGCCCAGGGTGGGCGGCTCCATACTTCTGGCTTTGGGTCAGACCCCAGCCCATCCATTCCGGGACCTCAGAGAGGACCTCCCTGCAACATGTCCACCCTGCATCGTCCCCCTCCTGAGGTCCAGCGCAGTGTGCTTCCTGCTTCCCGGGGTGAGCTGGTGCCGATCCCCTCGGCAGGCTGTGGCTGAATGGACCCCCCACTCTCATCAGGGCAGAGCTCCGGCCAGGACTGGCTCCCCAGTAGCCACGCAGCAGCCTGCACTCTGCTCAGCCATCTCCCTGCTGGCCCCGCCCTCTGCCTATGCCAACTACACCCCACTATCTGCTGCAGGTGGGTGGGCCGGGCCTGGCAGCTCACGGCAGGTACCGAGGCCCAGACCACAGAGCTGCCGTCCACCGGCTCTTTGGAACCTACATGATGGGGACAGGAAACCGGGCTGGTTCTGTAGGCTTTTCTCCCTCTTTCTAGCCTCTGATAACTAAAAGGGGAGATGATGCTTTCTGACCCCTTTCCTTCCACACTCACCCAGGCGAGGCCACTAAGCAGCAGGGATCACAGCGGAAGAGGTCCTACCGTAAGGGTACTTGGTGTCCAGCTTATGCTCCGCTGTCCTCCTCCACGGCAGCAGGTCGTCGCTGCACCCATTGGGCATCCCATTGTACCCGATCCCCACAATCTTGTTTTCTGCGTTCACGATGCAGGCTCCGACCTGGGGTGGGGGGGCATGCACTTACTGGGGAGGATGAAACTGGGGGCGACAGCTTCTGGAGGTGCTAAGAGCCCTGTCTCCTCGCTCACCTTCTGTGGCAGCTCCCCACAGTCAAAGAAAGGGGGCAAAGGGGGGAGACAAAGGCAAAGGGATAGTGAATGATGGCAGGTGCCAATCCACTCTCTCCAGGAACACACAAGCAGGCAGGAATGAATTTACTCTGCCTGTGTAAGCTGACAGACGTCTGCTGAGTCTCTTGTCTCGTCCTCTGCTCCTCTGTGGGTGTCTCCGGGTCTCTGAGTCCCCAAAAGGGCGCTTATAAAACTCACTTACCTGGGAATTTGGATCTTTGCTTCTCTGGGCCGACAAGAAAGCCACGGCCATGAAATACTCGGGCCATTCCAAATAGTCATCGCGCTTTTTGCAGGAAAAGTCACTCATGCTGGGTCTGGGAGGGAAATGCGACAAGCTGCCCTGGAAGAAAGCATTTCCGTTAATCTGTTTTCCCCTGAGACCCAACCGCATTTCAAGTCTGCATCTGCAAACCTGGGGCAGTTTCCGTCACATCTCTCAGACATCACAGCACATAGACCCCAGACCATCGCCCATCTTGAGAAAAAAATATTAGTTACTATTTCAGAAGTTTGGGTTGGCAAGTCTAACATCACATTCCCAAATACCAATCCACCTGCAGCTCTCTCATGCCATGATCTACATCATGACAAAAGCCCACACTATATGAAATGTTCTCCACCCACGGGCACCCCGCTCTTTATTACACGAAGCCAGCACCGGAGGGAAGGGACACTGACTGTTAAAGGCCCTGCACATTGGTCATGGCCACTTGCTCCCAGGGAGGGGAGAGTAACACCCCACCTTACAGAGACCCAGAGAACTCGAAGGATCTGAAATCACGCAGGATTATCACCCACTAGCTGTTCTCCAAAAAATCCTCTGGACCTGTCCCAATTCTGAGGGTCACCAGCGAACTGGTCCCTATTCCTTTTCCCTTAGCGTGTCCAGATGGGACACAAGTTCTCCACTGAGGACCGGATCACATGAGGACAAACTCTGCAAGTGTCAAGAGCAATTTCTAAGGCAAGGTTTTAGCAGCGGCTTTGCTCCAGGCAGGCCTGCACAAGCCGCCTCTCCAACCTCAGGGGCCCGGGGAGCCTCCAGTCTCCAGGTTCGGGAGCAGGCGAACTTCCCAGGGGGAGACCCAAGGGCACGGAGGGGCAGAAGGCCTGGGTAGCTGTCACCCACAAGTCTGGAGAAATCCTGGACACCTGGGCTCGCCTGAGAATTGCCCATAAACGACGGGCTCTAGACCTAGACGCGCGGTTCCTGCGGGCGAGAAGGGCGGCAGAGGCAGGCCTGGCACGCGGGGAATACCTCGGTTCTGGAAACCAGGGTCACGCACCGACGATGCGGCCCAGATTGGGGGCAAGGAGGGCGGAGCGGGTTGGATGGGGACCCAGCTCCAGGGTTCGCATCCACAACCGTGGGCATGTGCAGGCCTCACCTGGCCTCAGGGAGCCAGGTAAGCGCGCACGGGCGAGCAGAGGACGAGCCCCGAGGGGACGGGGCGTGCGGCGCAGGGCAGCAACTGGCTGCGCTCGGCGCGCGCTTTACCTGGTCGGCGCCCCCACCTGGTCCCCGGAGCGGCGCTGCAGAAACGCAGGAGGGAGCCGAGGCCCCGAGACCACGAGTCCGCGGGGGGCGGGGTCGCCTCCTCACCCGCCGGGGCCCGAACCCAGCTGCTCCCAGCCCCCCCGGTGCGCCCGGCGGGGACGGCCTCCTGCCCCGCGCACACGTGCGCGCCGGGGACACCGCCCTCCGCCGCCCCGCGCGCCCGCCCGGCCTCCGGGAGGGAAAAGCCTCCCCGCGGCTGGGCTGCCCAGAAGGAGGTTAAGCTGGGTCGGGGGCGCCCCCCGCCCCAGCCCCGGCCCCGCGCCCCCGCGCGCCGGCCTCTCCCAGCCGCGCGCCCCGCTCGGCCGCGCCACGTGGCGCTCGAACCCGGCCCCGCCGCGCCCCCGCCCGCCCCCGGGGAGGAAGTCGGGAGAGGGGGCGGGCCCGGGGCCGGAAGGTGGCCGCGGCTGGGGCTGCGCGGCCGGGGCTCCCCTGTTGGCCACGCTGCGCCATGGCGCAGCCCGCGGCCGGTCGGCGGCTTGAGCGCCCGGCCCCCACGGCGCGGACCCGGGGCTGGCGGTGCCCCGGTCGTGCTGGGAGGTGGGGTTCGGCCCGGGCTTGAGCGCCCCCCCAGCCCCCGGGGCCGCCCCGGGTCGTGGATTGGCGCGGGGGGACGGGCCGCGGCCGCCGCCCGGGCTCCGGCCCCTGAACCTGGGCATTGCCATCGCCGACCTGAGGCTGGGCCGCCAGCCTTGCTGATGCTCGCAGCGCTCGCCCGAGTACCTGGCCCCGGAGCACCTGCAGCCTGTGGGCGGGAGCCGCCGGGAGAGCCGTGCGCGCTGGAACCGAAAGGGCCAGGGCGCGGGGAGGAGCTTTGGGTCTCTGGAATGGGCCTGCCCTGTCCGGTCGTGGAACGCTTGGACGCGCCTGCCCCACCGTCCCGGCGGGGAGGGTTTGTTTAGAGGCTGTGAGCTGAGTCAGGCGGGGCCTCAGTGCCTCGAGGCACAAATGCTTCGTGGCATCATTTGCATTTTCGCTTTGCATGACTTCAGCTTCTAGCAAAATGTGTGCCAGGGCTCTGGGTGTTCTGGATAACGACTGTCCCTTTTAAATCGTCTATGTGTTGTTTCAGTTGCTTCGACAATCTATAGGGGTCAGTGAGAAGGACCATCAGTGGCATTTCTGAAGGCCTGTACCCCAAAGAACTAAATCTGAGTTCCTTGAACCCCATTGTTCTCAGATTGGAGCTCGAAGTCCAGGGAACGTTGGTTCTGTTAGGGAAAAATGATGTCCTGAGGTAATCCCATACAAGCTTTGTGGACCCCACCCCCACTCCAGACCAAAGCCATCAGGACACTGGGAAAGACAAATCCCATCACACCAACGGGAGGGTGGCTGGGACCTGAGGGTGGAGTTGGGCAGCCAGGTTGGGTATAAAAACCAAACACGTGGGCCTTGGGGGGCTCACTGTCGCTTGCCTCCTGGCTTCAGGGCTCCTGGCTCGCATCCAGCTCTCAGAGCACCATTTGGGATTCCTGATCGGTGCATCGGGTAGGACTCATTTAAAACTTTGTCTCCCACTTTTCTCCCAGAGCTGTACATTTCCCCATTTCCCCTTCCCTTGTGAATAAACCTTTTATTAACCTTTCGCATGTGCCTGCAGTAGAGCATGGATAAGTCCTTTTAAGCGCGCGGGTGAGGACCCACAGTCAGGCACCCCGTTTTGTATCGGGGCTGCTCTACAACAGTTCCAGAACAGAAAATGAGCAAAGAACGCCTTTCTGGATTACCTGTGGGCCTTGATGATGCAGCCCCGCTCCATAAATAATAGCTGCTATGATCATCTGAGTTCTGATCCACACATCCCAGATCTCAGCGGCGAATCCAAACAAAAGCTGGTTAACTATATTCATTTAGCTTAACGGGGAAGAACGATGAGAATAAACAGTTGGTCCTATCTCATTTCTCAGGACAGCAGACACATCATTCTGCCTCTCCATGGTCCAGCCTGTAGATTCAATAATTAAATTATGTGCTGCTTTGGTGGATGCCGGGAAACCGAAGGGGAGAATAGTTCATCGTTAACTGTGGGTTTTTTTTTTCCCCTTGATAATGTTAGGGGGGAAAGGATGCAGGGGCTGCTCCGTAACAATAAGACTCAGGCTTGAAAGAGCTACAGAGATTAAGACGATGGTTTTTAATGTCACGTTAACTTTACTTGACTGTCCTGCTGCCACTAATATTTATTATGTGCCCAACCCTCGCTCCCTCCATCTGCTGCATGGTCTTCGTCACCCTCATCCACAGCCTTAGAGTCTTCATAGATCCATTTCTCTCCTCTCAACCTCCAGCCAATACATCACCAATGGCTGCTGGTCCTTCAGCCACATCAGTAAGCTTTCTTCCTTCCTCTGCTCTGTAAAGACTGTCATACATAATTTAGCTACTTCTCATCATTCTCCATTTTGGTCAACTCACACAGTCCCCTCTGCAATAAATTCAGCATCCTGCTTGCTGCAAACGCATTACCCTGAATGTTCTGCATTTCTCTGAAAGTCTCTCCTCTTATAGGGGGACATCATTCATCATTCGGGAGACCCTCCTGATCCAGAGGCTCACAACTTGAAGCTTTAATTATTCTGCAGCGACAGTGAACCCAGGCAGCTGGGGGTGCTGGTGGAGGGATGCATTCCTTGGATTATCTTGCTCATTAACACCTTGTAACTCCAAGTGTGACTCTAGGTGTTAAAACTCTCTTGTTAATACCTTGTATTTTGGGTTATAATTGAGGATCTTTCTCCACCTACCACAGACACAGAGGCTATGTTTTCAGCCCCACGGAGGTGATGATCCCTGGAGCAAGGGCGGGTCTGCACACAGAGGAGCGATCAGACACTCACAAGCCCTGCTGTCACGCGGCTTTGGCGTCACTGTACAGGCCTGCGGGTTTTCTCTGTCTGACGCACAGCAGGACCTAGAATATATTTCAGTGCCTTGGAAGGGGGGTTCAGGTGGGGCTTCAGTGGCTCCGTGGATTTCTGCTTGGCCGTCCTACCACTAATTGTTAGGGGGAAAAGGATGTCCTAAAGCTAATCCCATACAGGCTTTGTGGACTCCACCCCCACCCCAGGCCAAAGCCAAAGACACTGGGAACTCCAAATCCCATCACCACCCAAGGGAAGGTGGCTGGGACCTGAGGGTGGGGTTCAGCAGCCAGGTGGGTATAAAGCCAGACACGCGGGCTTTGGAGGGGTCCCCCATTTTGACTCTCCGCCAGCTCGCAGCGTCCGGCCAGCTCGGAGAGTGCCTTTGGGTTTCCAGGTCGGCGGATCGGGTAGGACGCATTAAAGACCTTATTTCCCTATTTTCTCCCTGAGTTGTACATTTTCCTTATTTCCTTCTCCCTTGTAAATAAACCTTTTATGAACCTTTTGTGTGTGCCTGCAGTGGAGTATTAATAAGTCCCTTTTAAGCGCGCGGGTGAGGACCCACAGCCAGGCAACCCGTTCAATATCGGGGCTGCCCTATAACAGCTGGCGCCCAATGTGGTTTCCAAGCTTCGCCCGTGGTTGACCAGCCCAAAGTAATTTTTCTTGCGTTGGTCACCATAAAGCGCACTAGGTCTGCAGGACTCGCGTGCCGGTGAGGACCCACAGCCAGGCAACCCATTCAATATCGGGGCTGCCCTATAACATTACCATTCTGCCACCGCCTCTGCTTGTCCAGAAAAGGGTGTGGCTTACAATCCAGAAACAGAGGCAGGGGATCTGGGAGGCGACCAGTCCATGCCTGAAGTCTGTCATCAGAGAAAGGACACAGACCTTGGAGTCAAACCAGGCTGTGAACTTGAATTCCTTCAGAAAGGACTCGCATCCTTAGATTCTTTGCTTACTGATCTGTAAAGTCAGTCAGTCACTCATTCCATCATTTTTTGTTAATTCTCTGAGCTAGGTGTTCTAAACTGCAGCAAGGAACAACATAAACCAGTTCTTGCATTCTCAGGGCTTATCCCTCCCCCCCCCCATAAATGCTAAATAAAAGAATCTCATTGCTGGCTCAGTTAACACAATAACTGTTATTGAAGATAAGTTGCCTTTTGGAATAGCTTCGTTCTTAATCCAGTGGCACCAGGACCAAAAACGTCAGAGCTCAGCAATAGCACAGAAAAGGCAGTAAAAGCAGACAAGTGCTGCTCTTACTGTTCTTCAAAGGAAAACTGTTTATACGCCCACACATGGAAGTCCAAACTAGAGTGAACTGTTTAAGCCTTAAGGAAGGGGATGATCCAAATATCTGCTAACGCAGAGAAAAAGTCAAGTCAAAATGAAAGCTCTAGGGAGAAAAAATATGTGGCCTAGTCAAGATGCACATTGTTACACATATGTTAAACAGGAGGCCAAGTTGCTGGTGTTCAGCAAAAGGCATACAGAAGGCGCAATGATAAGCCAGAACATTCCTACCAAAAACTCAAGATTCCTAAATGAAATGTGTGTGATGAGCTGAGGCCCTACTTCTCATCACTATTGCATATTTTCAGAATTATAATGAAGATGTTAAATTGGCAGAGACCCAAAGCTGGATGCTGTGCTATTGTGTATCAACAGATGTTTGTTAACCAAATAAATGAATGAAGAGAAAATAATTGTTTGAGGCCAAAAATGGGGGGGGGCACATCCAACTCCCCCCAATTCATGTGTAAACTCTAGTTGTGACTCTCATTGCTTTCGTTTATCTCCTAGTGGTTGATGGGCCTGGAAAGTCATTTGAAGTGAGATATTGGGGTTGGGGGGTCAGGATGCCAAGGGGTGCAATCTCAGTCTTAGGGCATTGGTCTTGGACTGTGGCACCCACCTCGAGAAAGCAGCTGGAAAAGCTGTCTGCTTTCTTGGTAGACTGGTTCTCTCTGAGACTTACTTCTCTACAGAGCTGAATTCACAGCCTCTTTCCTACACAACTGGTTGAAGTTGATGGAAATTACATGTCTTATCACTCCTTAAAAGAAAGAAATATATAAAATGTAAATCTAAAAGAAATGGGCAATTTTCTTGTACCACTTTATATTTCTGTGTAAGTTACAGAGTGCCAATCATTCTTACTTTTTAAAATTCAAATTTGTCAAGCA